AATATACAAAACAAAGCAAAAATATACTTTTTTTTTTATTAGTCCATGTTGCAGTGCACAATGGTTATGTTCACAGGGAGTTGGTGCACGCACTCAACACAGCTTAATTCTTTTTTACATCTCTTAACCCTCCCATTCCTCCCTGGTCCTTCCAACACTCAATCCCCATCCCATTTGCAAAAGCTCTATCTCCTTTTTCTCCCTCTATCCTTTCCCATCCCCTTTCCCTCAGGGTGGTATGGCCACAGACAAGTTCTTCATGTCTTTTAGATGTTATTCCTTTTTTTGAGGAATAGATTACAATTTTTTTTTTCCATTTTATAGGTTGTCTCTTCACTCTGTTGGCTGTTTCCTTTGATGTGCAAAAGCTTTTTAATTTTATATGATCCCATTTATTCATTCTAGACATTATTTCTTGAGAAATTGGAGTTCTGTTCAGAAAGTCCATGCCTACATCTGTGCCATCACAGTTTTACCTATTTTATATTTCAGCAGATTAAGCTTTTCTGTTCTAAGATTTATGCCTTTGGTCCATTTTGTTATTTTTTAGTTTAGTACATGGTGAGAGATATGGGCATGTTTATAGCCAGTTTTCCCAGTACTGTTTGTTAAAGAGACTATCTTTCCTTCAGCATGTTTTTGGCACCTTTGTCAAAGATCAAATATCTGAATGTGCCTGGAGTTGTTTTTGTATCTTCTCTTCTGTTCCATTGATCCATGATTTTGTACATTGCCATGCTGTTTTTAATCACTGTAGTTTTGTAATATAACTTTAAACTTGGGATTTAAAGAGACACCTCCTGATTTACTGTTGTTTCTTAGGATTGCTTTTGATATTTAGGGTGTTGAGCAGGTATTGCACCAAAGCATGCAGAAGTAGTGTCCTACATATTTAACTTGTTGCTGGGACTTCTGTGGAATCCAGGCCCGACAACTTAAAAAGGAGAGATTGAACTGGGTGTTGTGTGGCATGCTTTTAATACCAGTAACCAGTTAGATATAAAAGCTTGGCAGACCAATGGTGATAGCCTTGGGTACGTAGTGAGTTGAAGACTAGCCTAAACCATATAGTGAGGTCCTGTGTCAGCCCATGGTCAGCAGGCTTCAAAGAAGAAGCAGCATAGCAGAGGGGAATGGTGAAGGAAATGGCTGCATACCTCATGGCAGCTTAGGAGGACAGAGTTAAGGGACGAGCTGAGAAGGGTCATTCTGTCTAACCCAGGTCATGCCAACAGTGAGCTGCCTCTTGGGACCAGGCCTTAATGCTATGGTTGAATGAGGCATTAGGGGGCCATTCTGATAGAAAACATAATGTGCTAAATGCACACATGAAAATATGTTGAACATTACCAGCCATTAGGGTAATACTTAGTAAGACCGTTACTATCAAAATATACAGACTGTCAAAATAGTTGAAACAAAGAAAATAACAATATCAAATGGTGGCAATAACACAAAGAAACCAGGCATCTCCACTACTGTGGCAGGATGCAAAGTGGTACAGCCATGGATCCACCAGCAAGCGGGTGGTCCATCACCTAGAGCCCCCATGACCCAGTTGCTTTCCCAAAGCTCCACATCTGAACACTGAGACTTCTGGGAGATAGTCTAGATGTTACCCATAACAAACAGGGTTTATTTTTTATTTTTTATTTATGTATTTGGTACAGGGCCTCACTGTGCAGCTCGGACTCGCAGTGAGTCTCCTGTTTTCAGCCTCCCCAGTGCTGGGATTATAGGCGTGCACCACTATGCCCGGACTCATTGCTGGCTCAGTGCGGCACGTGGTGCTGGGGATGGAGTCCTGGGCCCTGCGCTTGCCTAAGCAGGTGCTTAGTCTGCTGAGCTATCTCACTGGCCCACAAACAAGGTTCTCATGCACTTGTAATTGTTTCAAAATAAAAGGTTAAAATATAAAATGTGTGTCAGAGAAAGATTTATAAAACCAAAATCCAACTTTCTTTCTTTTCTTTTCTTTTTTTTTTTTTTGGTGGAACTGGGGATTGAACTCAGGCCCTTGCGCTTGCCAGGGAAGTGCTTATTCCACTGAGCCATCTCCCCGGCCCTGCCAACTTTCTTTAGAGCTCTCTATCATCAGTTTTATGTTAAAACTAAGATGTTTTGGGTTTCTTTCACGTGCTACAGAGCAGAAGACCAAGTTAACAAAAGAAACAAGAAAGAAAGAAGTAAAGCCAGCATTATGATGTGTTGAATTAAGAAGAAATTTTTCTGCCGTGGATTTGACCTGTTGATTCAGAATGGGAATCATTTGGGCTGATGCTGCTACACCTCCATGAACAGTTCTTTTATGAGGGAAGTATCATGTAGCCTGATTTAAAAAAAAAAAAAAGATTAGGAAGTATCTTATAGAGAGCTTCCCCCAGAAAAGCACCTTCCAGAAATTAATTTTGGGCCAGGGAGATGGCTCAGTAGAATAAGTGCTTGCCTGGCAAGTGCAAGAGCCTGAGTTCAATTCCCGCTTCTGGAAAAAAAAAATTTTTTTTTTTTAAATTCTATTGCCAGTCTTTAAACAAAAATAATTTTTACATGAAGGTAAAGAAAACCCAGTAGGGTACCACAGCAGTACAGCAGAAATATTCTGCTATTATACTAAGTGAATGTTTCAATCTAGCATTCTTAGGGAAAGAATTCTTTGTGTCATAAATTGTCAGTAAACAGTTCAAGGCCAGCCCGAACTACATAGTGAGACTGTCTCGAAAAACCAAAACCACAACCAAAACCCAAAAATAAAAGACCTCCCGTCAACTGAGATTAATATCCCTAAAAATGAAAATCAGGTTTGGGGAATTGGGAGAGGGGCACAAAAGGGGAAGAAGGGGACTAACAAAGAAGCTGCAGTATGTACACGTACACACTCCAAAGCGATTGTGAACTGCATGTACTATACACACACACACACACACACACACACACACATATACATATATATATATATCTTTTTTTTTTTTTTTTTGTACTGGGATCAAACTCAGGACCTGGTACTTGCCTGGCAGACACTTAAGCCGCAGGGCTATCTCCCCAGCCCTACTAATAAAATTTTTAAAAGTTAAAAAAAACCTTTCCGAATTAAACGTCAGTAACAATTGTATTTTTAATGTTTTTTTTTCTGAACGTATTTTGATTTTTAGCTGACTTAATAGTTAAAATATGCCCTTTCAAAAGGTATTCATTTTTTGGTTGTAGGATGAACCAGTGTCTCATATTCCAAGAATTTTATATTGACCTATATTTGTAAAATAAAAAAAAAAATCCAAAGGACAACGTAATGCCTGTAGACTAAACTGCGATCGCCCGCGTGAAAGAATCTGCTCCTACAACGTTAATGCTCCTCCTTCCTTACCGCCTGCAACATAAGCTAGCAAACTTTAGGAGTTAGGAAAAAGTCCAAGATTTTTAGAAACTCGTCCTTTATTGTGCTTTTAACAGAAAGGCTCCTGGGGGTGTGGGGGAGGCGAAACTCCCACTTGGGGAAGCTCTGGATCTGCAGTCACCGGTCCTGCATCCTTTTCCCACGTCTCGGTAGCAAGCCGGAGGGACTGAGGGGCGGGGCCTGACGGGGGTAAAATGGCCGCCACGCGGCGCTCTGGGCTGCCGGGGCCGCGACTCTGTAGGAGGAAGTCCTCCGACCCTCGCCTCCCGGAAGCGGAAGTAAAGGGGCGGTTTGGGCGCTAGTGTGTTTCTGAGAGACCGGCTTGCGAGTCGCGCCGCGGGAAAGGCGCGTGTCGGCCTCTCACTGGCGCAGCGGCCGCCGCCGTCGCGGCCGCCGCCCCGCCCCGGCGTTGTCGCAGGCGCCGTAGTGGACTGTGTGCGGCCCCGGCATGGGCAGCAAGGGGGACGCGAGCGGCGCGTTTGTCGCGGCTGCGCGGCCGGTGACAGGTACCCGAGCGTGGTGTTGGGAGGCCTGGTGGACAGGGAGAGGGTCTGCGTGTCGGGCGACCCTGTATGTAGCCAGGTCACCTTGAGCTTCCGCCCTGCCCTCGGTTTCCCCTCGCTAGTCGCACCTCCTCGCCAGCGTCCCAGGTTGTCCCCAGTGGTCTTCTCTGCAAGGTGGCGAGTCCTCGGGTGGCGTGGGCGACCTCAGCGGTCTGGAGCCGTCGCCGAGGAGCCTTGAGACCCGTGTGCCCAAGTGCAGGAGGAAGTGCTCTCATGAGAATTTAGCCCGAACCCAACCCTGAGCAGGTTGAGGACCAGCCCTTGGCAGGAGTGACTGGAGAACTGCTTGGTCCTTTTGTAGAGTTCTGTTTTCCTTACGTGGATTCGGATGATGCGTATTGGTCACACTGTTCATTTAATGCTGGGATCTGTTGGCTGGGATTGGAAGATCCGGTTTCATTTTTAGCATGTGGGACCTGCCAGAAGCGTAAGATCTGCGCACGTCGCCAGAAGTTATGGAGGAGAATTGTCCTTGTTCCTTGGTTGAAAGCTGTAGCTTCTTTACCATTTGCTGCAAATTTGAGAAGGGACATATTTTGTTCATCCCATGACCTGGGATCGTATGCTCTTTGGAATCATTCATTGGTGCACTTCCTAGCCAATTTTGTATAACGATGCTCATTTCTTGAAGTGTCATTTACACTGGCAGACATTTGAGTACTTATTTTATTTAACACGGAATCTCACTATGTAGATCAGGCTGGCCTTGATGTCAGTATGTAGCCCAGGCTACCCTTGTACTTGGGGCAGTCCTCTGCCTCGGCCACCTATCTTGAGCGCAGAGGTTACATGCACGTGCCACTACGCCCAGCTTGAACACATTTTAAATAGGTAGGTAATGCCACACAACCGGAGATAATGATGGCCTTTTTCTCCTTGACTAGCTTTTTTTTTTTCTTTTTTGCGGAACTGGGGATTGAACTCAGACCCTTGCACTTGCCAGGGAAGCACTTATTTATTCCACTGAGCCACCTCCCTGGCCCCTCTTGTTCTTTTTTTCTTTTCTTTTTTCTTTTTCTTTTCTTTCTTTTTTTTTTTTTTTTTTTGTCTTTTTTGAGATGGACTCACTGTGCAGTTCAGGCAGGGCTTGAACTGACTTAAATTTTAGAATCATCGTGTTTTTGTTGTTTTCCCAAAAGTGAAAAGCATTTATCGTATGTAATTTTTATTTATCTTTTCTGTATCTTACTCTAGATAAATAAGCAAGGAACAATATTTTAACTTAAGCATACTAGAAACTTCAAGGTAGGGTTTTGGCCAGTTTATTAATAGTTAATACAGTCTTAAAGAATGTCTTACGTTTTTGTGTCATGCCACAGGCATTGTGCCTATGATCTTAGAGTGCTACATAGCCCAGTGTGATAGCTGTTATCACTCAGACTGTTCATTTAGGACCGCCATTGTCAGAATGGTAAGGGACCCCATAAAATGGAGTCCTTTTCAGTGAGATTCTTAGCAGTTTCTCTGGACAGCCCCTTTCTCTGTTATCACCAAGAATGTGGGGTCAGTGTGGCAAAGTTCTTGTTTCTCCTCTTATCCACTCTGTCCACTCCTGAGTACTGGAGATTAAACCTCAGGCTTTCCAACTGAGCTACATCCAGTGACCTTATTTATTTAATTTTTAAATTTTGAGATTGTGGCTCACTGGCTTCTATGTAGCCTAGGCTAGGCTCATGAGTGCTGAAATGACAAGAATGTGCCACCAAAAGTTGTAATACATAGCTTCTCACATGTTCTCTTTTGGGATGGTGCTATACTTCATCTTAAGAGTATACACTTTCTGAAAGAATAATATAAAGGGTTCTCTGGGTAAGTCACAGGCATATAGGATTTTCTTTTTTCTTTGTTTCTTGGTGGGATAGGGGTTGAACTGAGGACCTTCACAGTGAAGCAATTTTGGAAAGCTGATTTCATGAGTGTCTTTAATTGTGCTGTCCTGGCTGCCTTAATACTCAAAATCTGTTGTAAACATTTACCATTCATGGAATTTTGATGTTGAAGAAGAGCCAGAAATTGCATGGTGCCAGATCTGGTTAATAAAATGAATGAAGACACATCCTAATGTTTTTATGAGCTTGCCTTTCCGTTGGGTGGTACTTGACAACACAATTCATCCTAACTTGATTATTCCTCATAAAGGCATAAAAGAGGACTTTCAGAACTGCTTCATAAGTAGCAAGATTGAGAGGATAAGTGTTTGAAGGGAGGGGAATATTTTGAAGTGGATCAATGGCAATATGTCTTTTACTATAATAACTTTTAAGAAATAGTCTCTGAATATTTTGATCAGTCCTCATATGTGGAACTTGTAGATATGATTATAACTCTTAGGGAAATTTAGTCCCAGGTTATTGCTTGTGAGTGTTAGGTGACATGGGGTAGGTAAAGCTAGCCCATTGCTCAGAAAAGGGTAGGATTGCCTGAGAAGCCTTTTGTTCTGTCCCCACTTCCCTTATCGCTCTACCTGTTGTCTGTCTGGGTTTACCATGTGGTGGTGTTCCACTGTCATTCATCATGAACCACTACTTATGGGAGTTAGCTTCTGTAACACTAGGGGGTTCTGAAAGGAGCCTGCATCTTTCCCCTGCTTCAGCCTGGAGTCATTGCTAGCGGGTTTCATTGTCACAGATTTAGTTTGGCTAGGCCTGTTTTCAGTAGATTTTGTTTTTGTGCATAGATTCTTTGTTTCTGCAGTTACCATAGTGATCGTCATAAATTTTTTTAATCTAAGCACTTTATTTATACTTTTTTCCAATAGAAGAGCTGATAGTGTAAATTTAAGACTTCTAAAAGCCATTTTTGTTTGATTTAATCGATTTTGCTTTTGACCATTATTTTTCAAGGATTGAATATGATAGCAAACAGAATGTTAGTACAAATTATTATTATTATTTGTATGACAAGGGCTAGGTAGTTTAGCCTGGCTTTGAACTCGTTGTATAGCCCAGGATGGTCCTGAATTCAGGGTGATCCTCCTTAGCCTCCCATGTGCTAGGATTTCAGGCATGTGCCACCATTCCTGGTTTATATAATTTTTTTTTTTTAAATCTTTTTTTTTTAGGCAAGGGTCTACAGGGTGTTCAGGCCCTCACCACTAGATTGGACTCGTAGTGATCTGCTTGTTTACAGCTTCTCAAGAACTGGGATTACCGGCAAGTGCCACCACACCCAGTCTCAATTGCCATCTCAGGGCGCCCCTGGGGCTGGGCTGGCATGGCAGGTCTGGTGAACCCCTGGCGCCTGCACCTGCTTGCAGGCACTTTAGTCTGCTGAGCTATTTGGCTGACCCTATATAATTCTTATAGGAAGAAGGTATTGATTGTTTTTCCCAAAATACTGTTTCTTACTGTCGGATGTATAACCAACATGGAGGAAATGGGATAAGCCATGTCAGATGCTGATCTTCCCACATGGTCTTAACCTTTTGAGGCCTGGATGCTAGCTTTTCTGTTTCCTTTTCCTCCTCCCCTTACGTGAGGTCTTAGCCAGGCTAGCCTTGGAATTCTGGGCTTAGGCAGTTCTGATTCCCCAGTAATTCTTGTATTTATTTATGTTTTATTTGTAGGGCTGGGGATTTGAACCTCATGTCTTGCAAATGCTAGACAAGTGCTCTACCACTGAGCTATGCCCCTTTCCTCTGAATGCTAACTTTTACATAGCTCGGGGGATATCTGATTAAGGTGCTGTTAGGTAGGTTCTGTAGGAGACTGTTTCTGAAATGACCTGGTTACTTTCTGTGAGGGTCTCAGCACGCAGAACGACTGTGCTGCTCTGCTATCCTGTTGTGTAGATAAGGATGAGTGCCCTAGAAACCGATTGAATTCCTGTATTTGTTCATTCCAGAACCTGTCTTTGAGTTAGTTACTTAAGAGAGTAGTGGTAGTTTCCTGCAGCTTGTAACAATGTACTGCAAGTTTGATGATTTAGACAACAAAAATTTATTCCTAAATCATGTTCCATGATTCTCTCTGAAATTTTAGGTAATCTTTCCTTGCCTCTTCCAAGGTACCTGCAGGCATTCCTTGACTTGCAGTATGATTACAGGGTTTATCTCTCTTTACCTGGAGTTCTCCTTGTCTCTCTTCATGTGTCTCCCCCCTGCTGCTGGTGTTCCACTTTCCTGTTTTTACTATGCTAGTTACATTGAATTAGTGCATCCTAATCACCTCATCTTAACGTGCTCACCTCTGTGAAGACCCTGTCTCCAAATAAATTCACATTTTGAGGGACTGGAATTTGAAAGTTAATCTTATTTTCATGGAGAATAAAACACAATCCACAACACTTATCTATTATGTATGTCTTCATCTGTTTCAGCTTTTTTTTACCTCATGCTTTATAAAACATTCTTGGGTAAAACTTGCTGCTCCACTGACTCCCCAGGAAATGAAATGGAGCCTCTTAGGGAAGAATGTAATGAACTACTGATCTTGAACAATGTATCAGTCACTCCACAAATATCTATTGCACTACGTATTAAGTACTATTATTGTTCAATAGTGGTCCTTTTTTTTTTTTTTCAATGTTGTAACTCTAGGTATTAAGATTGTTATTTTGGGTCTGTAAGTATTAAGATTTAAGCCTTTTTGTCTTTCTAGGGCTCTGCTGTAAAATGGGACTTCCATTTGCACTCACTGTGCTATGGCTGTTCTCAGTGAAAGCGGATTCAAAAGCCATTACAACCTCTCTCACAACAAAGTGGTTTTCCTACCCACTGTTGTTAGAAGCCAGGTAAGAAGACCTTCTTTTCTTTCACATATTTGAATATCAATGTAGATTCTTCCAGGAAATCATTGAATATTCAGCAGCTTTTAGGAATGAGGTTATGATCCTCAGAAACATTTATTAATGTGCTCTGTGCTGTATAAAGGCTGTTAGGACACAGAATCTTTCTATTGATCCAGAGACTCAGGAACTTTGTTAGACAAATATATTGAACTGGTTAAATTACTATTTGTCTCCCAGAAAAAGTGTAAGAGTGATTATAAGGGAAGAGCGGGTTGTATTTAAAAGAAAATTTCTATTTAGCAAGGACAGTTTTTAAGAAATTCTTACTAAGAGGAGAGCGCTTGGTGGGTGTGGGTATGGGGTGCATGTTTTCCTGAGAATGAGGTAAAGAAGTCAGGGTTGGAGAGGGCAGGAAATGGGTTGGGTGGTGGAGGAAGTGACCAGGTTTATCTGTCCCCAGGTGTCTGTGTTCTATATTGTAAGGCCCACAGAATCAAATCAATAAATTATCTTCACAATTGCAATTGCTAGCATTTCTCATGAAACAATTATAAATAAACTTGATAAAATATAGTATAGTCAGTGATTTCTTGTGACATTTTCAATTCCAACTGTTCTTTTTAGCAAGTATTTATAATATACATACCTCTTTTTTTTTTTTTTTTTTCAGTAGTGGGGATTGAACCTAGCTCCATCTGAGCTACATCTGCATTTGTTTTTTCTTTTTTCTGTTGAGATCATGTCTCACTAAGTTGCCTAAGCTAGGCTCAAACTTGGGATCTTTTTTCCTTAGTCTCCAAGTGCTGGGATTATAGGCATTAGCTATCATACTTGGCTGAGATAACTCTTTTTACAGCCAGTAAAAGAGTATATATGCTTACTTACAGCAGCTTATTTTTAGTATATCAAAAATAATGTATAGTTGAGATTGAAGGAAATCTTTCCAAAGGATAAATGCAGTAGATCATATAGTAAGCACTTACAATTTTGTGTTTGAAATGTCAAGTCCTTTCAGTTAACTTCGTGGTTTGTCTATGTTGTCTTCACCTTAGTATTTTTGTTTTTTATTTTTATTATTATTATTTGTATTTCAGGGAAGGGTCTATAGGGTGTTCAGGGTCTTACTACTAGATCGGAATCGTAATGATCTGCCTGTTTGCAGCCTCCCAAGAGCTGGGACTATAAGCGTGCATCCAAGGCCAAGTCTCAGTCACTGTCTCAGCATGCCCTTGGGGTGGGGCTGGCACAGCAGGCCCCTATGCCTGCTTGTAGGTGCTTTAATCCACTGTGCTATTTGGCTGGCTCCCCACCTTAGTATTTTGTTGTCTAGCTTTTCTTCCTTAATTTCTTAAAACATATGAATGAAGCAGTGTGTGAAGTTGGTTTTGTGGATACTTGCCCTGCCAAGGGCGAACTTCATTTGGTATGGGGAGGAGGACCCTTGGGGAGGGAGTTAGTGAGAGCTGATCCAGACACACAGGGCCCATGGACCTTGTGCTGAGCAGGCTCCTTCTGTACACCTCTGAGTCTCCCTTTACTCAGCAATAAAATGGCAAAAGAAAAGGAGAACCCGACCATAACAAGTTTCAGCACCACTGAATGCATGTCATAGTGGTTTTACAATAACTTAGGGGATAGATGAATTCAGCTCCTCAGGTGCCTCTTCACTGGATTATGGGTGGTTGTGCCAGTTGAGTGGCTGAGGATTGTTGGAGATCATAGACTGCCTGAGCCAGCACTCTGGTAATTTAAGTTTTGTTTTGCTTTGTTTTTCCTACTTGTAATTATATTTTGGATCTCATCTATTGAGATTTATTATCACTTCTGGAATAATTTTGAGGAATTGACCATGACAGATACTTCATGGTATTCTGCTTGAAACATTCTTAGCTGATTAAATTGACTTCTCTTACTTGTATTGGCACTGACTAGTTAAGAAAGCATGCAAAATTGTCAGCCCCAGTTCCTCAGTATTTTTTCAGTTCCTTCAATCATTGTGGAGTGGGTAAGCTATAAATTCCTTCACATTTTTATCAAACATCCCTTTTCATGATCATTAGCATATCCCTGGTTATTATTTTTAGGCCTTTTTCCTGTGGCTATTTACAGACCTGCAGCCAAGGTAGCGGATCTTGTAGGCAACTCAGGAAAGAGCTCTGCTTATTTGATTTTTTTCTTTCCTATTTATTTATTTACTTATTTATTGGGTACAGGGTCTCGCTATACAGCTCAGACTCATAATGATCCTCCTGTTTTCAGCCTTCCTAGTGCTGGGATTACAGGCGTGCACCACCATTACCAGACTCTGTGGCCAGCTCAGTGCATCCGGAGGTGGGGCCGGTGGGGCATGTGGTGCCTGGGATTAAACCCTGGTCCCTGTGCTTGCCTAGCAGGTACTTAGTCTGCTGAGCTATCTCACTGGCCCTTTATTTGAAAGTACTCCATTTTTCCTTCCAGAGTTTTTGGAGGCTGCTCCTCTTCTCTGGTGTCTGTTGATGGCTTGTTGCTCCCTGTCAGGGTAAAGATGAAGGGGCAGAAGCTTTCTGTACACAGTGAGGCATGCAGTTATCATAGACTTCGTGCCATCCTCATGCCCATCCCTAGAGGCGAAACATATTCCTGTGTACATTTTTAGATTGTGCTTTTATTTACTGACTCTGTGCCCCTGAGCAAATTCACAGTGTCTGTGGATGGCGTCTTCTTTTTGAAAATGTTTATAACTGGGGGTAGTTGTGTGGATTTATGGATATGGCTGAATGTGCTGAGCCTTGTGACTGTTACATTGAAGACTTTCCCCTTCCTCTTTAAGCCCTGTTTAAAAGAATACTTTTTTTTTTGTGCTGGGAATCATACTCAGGACTTCATGCTTGCTAGGCATGCATTGTGCCACTGAGCTAATTCTCTGGCTCAAGAATACCTTTTTTTAAAAAAATCTTAACAGTAGTTTTGGAAAGTTTACCACTGGATTTGAGCTACCTGGTGGACATTCAGGTTGTTTTTTTTTTTGGGGGGGGCAGCAGTGGAGTCATAGATGGCAAACTTTATTATGATTTTTCAAAATGCTGATAAATGGAGATAGTGGTTTATGCTTTCCAAATACCTGCCAGTTTCTCCTCCCTCTCCTCTCCTCTCCTCTCCTCTCCTTTCCTCTCCTCTCCTCTCTTCTTCTCTTCTCTCTTCTTTCTTCTCTCTCTTCTCCCTTCCTTCCTGATACTGGAGATTGAACCCAGGGCTTTTGCATTGAACTACATCCCTAGACCTTTGTATTTTTTTGAGATAGGATCTCATTAAGTCATTTGAGCTTGTGATTGTCCTTTTTAGTCTCCTAGAAAGCTGGGATCATAGATATGTGTCACCACACCCAGCCCATCAGGCATTTTTAACAGTTATCAATTCAAGTACAGTAACCACTATCACCCTCTCCCCTATCTCACTGGAATATTTTAAAGGAAATACCTATGTCATGTAGTTTTATCTGTAGAACTAGGTTTTTTTTTTTTACTGAGAGGCGCAGGTATAAGAAGCTAAAAAACAAAAATGTAAAATTAATTATACTGTGAAAGAAATGACAGTGTTTCTTTTTTATGATATCTTCCATTAGTGTCTTCTCCACTGGTTTCTCTTCATCTAGTAGGTAATTTTATTAAGATTGTTCTCAGCTTAGACCTGTAAGAATTATTTATGTAGTGGGATAAAAAGAATAATATTTAAAATTTTTTCATGTATTTAGCCTGGATGAGTCCTTGTTCTCACTACAACTAAAAAATATGTGATCCCCTTCTGCTAACTTACCTTGTGAAGGTGCCTTAAGTTACCAATTTAGTATTTATTTGCACATCGTGATGCAGAAACTGTTTTCTTAGACTGTAAACTGTTTTATGGTTACTCTCGAAAACCTAGAGAAATACAGAGGCGTTAAATAGTTTAATACGTTGTGATAATGGGTGTTTTCAGAAACCTATTTTTAGAGAAGCTTTGCATTACCAGGAAATGTTTCTTATTTTTCCCATATTTCTGTGTCTAGCTGTGGAGTAGAGTGAGAGTTGTACACCCCAGTGTTGACAAGTAATGGGAAAGTCTTCCTTTGGCTAGGTAAGCTGAGATCCAGATCTGTAGTTTGCTTTAAGACAGTGACAGATCACCACTACATTAGTTCTCTGGGCTGGGCATGAAGATTACCAGCTTACATGAGTCATTCACTCAGTTACTATAGGTGTTTTCTTTTAGGGTTTTAGACTCTTAAGTGCAGGGAAATTTCACAAGAGCCATTATTTTAGATTAATAATGGAAAGTGGGAAAGATTAAGATATTAACATTTTAGATCTGATTTTGTTAAATCAGTGTTAATGTTAACATAAATCTGATGATCTTGAAAATTTAGATTTATGGGTGTTAAAAAATAACATGTTGCCTTTAGCCTCCTAGAAATTTTCCAGGGTTTATGTTTACTATGGAAAATCTTTAGGCAAGGTCTTTCAGAAAATAAGTGAGCAGAACTAGTAGTAGAATTACTAATTTCTAACTCTGCTTCCACTACTGACAGCATTTATGTTAGTGGGGTCTCATAAGCTTTGTTAAATGTCAGAACTTCCTTGTTGTTACATTTTTATTATTTCAGGGTTTTTAAATAGCTGTGAAGTGAATGTTAGTAAGTTAAAAAGTTATTAATAGCTAATAAGCTAGTAAGATTTATCATTAAGAAAAATGTATATATAAATTAAAAGCTAAACTACAGACATTTGGAAATTTAAAAACTTATTTTCTATAGTAATATAGTTTATATTAGAAGATTTTTATTAAGTTTTATTTCTAACATTTTGCCCTTTTCTCCCAGTGAATTTTTAGCAGAAGACAGTCAAGAGAAATTTTGGAATTTTGTAGAAGCCAGTCAAAATATTGGATCATCAGATCATCACGGTAAAATTGAAGCTAATGCTTCTTTGATTTTGGTAACTGGGAAAATATTTTTTAAAATGTTATCATTGTATAGTATGTGCGAAGTGGCAGTTAATGGAAGGCATTTTTTAAAGTTTTAGTGACTAGAGCTACAGTGCTAGCCAGGAAGAGCCAAATACTATAATTATTTTACATACTAGGGCCTCAGGCAGGTTAAGCATATGCACTATCACAGAGCAGTACTCTGAGCTACAGAAGACTTTGTAAATGATAAATGAAAGAGCTGAGCAGAAAAATATTCTCGGATTCAAGGAGGGCTGTCACATATCCATTGTACCATGGGATAGGAATCAGTGTGACCCTGGGGTAGGTGATTTCACAGCTAAATTCTTCTTTTGGGAATAAGTAGATGGTTATCCAGGTAAGTGGTAGCAGTTCAGAGAAAGAGAATAGTTTAGGCAAAGGGAGGAAGAAAGAAATGTCTAATTGCATTCTGTGTCAAGGATATTTTGAGCATTCAACAAAAATTCAAGACAATCTACTGGTAAAATTTTGTGGTCATGTACCTTTGTAACCTATAACTTTATTTGGCTATCATAGTTATATTGACATACTTAGATTCATGTTCTTTCCTGATAGGTACTAATCATTCCTATTATCATGCGATATTGGAAGCTGCATTTCCATTTCTGTCACCTCTCCAGCAGAATTTGTTGAAGTTTTGCCTGTCTCTTCATTCCTACTCTGCTACAATTCAAGCCTTCCAGCAGGTAAGTCCGGTGCTTCCAGACAGTAGCGTTTTGTAAGGTGTCTGCTGCAATGATGGGATAGATTGCAGTTGCCATGGAATTGAATCATAGAAGTGTCCCTGTTTTTCTGGGATTATGATTTATTTTAAAATAATACATAGAACTGATGGTAAGTGCTTTGTTTTTGTTTTTGAGACAGGGTCTTACTTTGTAGTTTGGGCTAACCTTGAACTCATGGCTGTCCTGCCTCAACCTTCCAAGTGCTGGGATTACAGGTGTGCACCACATGCCTGGCCCAAATTATAGATCTTTAAAAATACACTTTGTACTTGTTTTCATGTATGGAGCACATAAAAAAGAGAAAACTGCTTTGCTTATACAACACACATTGGTTCTTACTAAACCAATGGATTTGAATCTGGTCACACCCTTTAGAACCAAAAGCAGTTCACAGGAAATACAAGAGATGGTAAGTATCAAGCAACACCACAGGGATGCACTCAGGAAAGTCTGGCTTCTGGGAAACTGCTGTTAAGAGATGTGGTTTCAATAAATCAAGGATAGGGAGAGTTTCCTGCTACCCTGCGCCGGCGGGACCAGTCCCAGCCCAGGCACAGCGTGGGCCGGAACCTCTCCCAGCCCCGCGGGCTGCCCCCCACCACTCTGCAGTGCC